AAGGGTGGAGGATGAATCTAATTAAGTACACCCGAATATCTTGCACATCAAGCTAAATGTATCCTGGAGCATGCTTAACAAAAAGTCGTTAGCTAACTTTGTTTCCTTTATCCATCCTATTACTTTTTTTCCATGATGGAAATTTATAAATAGGAGATAATTAGAATGCATGATAGTTCAGATCATATTTGCCAAATGATAAATTCTAGCCACCTTTAGAAACATTTCTCCCAGTAAGCCAACTTGAGACAAAAAAGAAAAAAAAAAACCTTCTTTTTAAAAAATAAAGAAACAAACTGCTTCACATAAATATACACATCATTAGGATAAAAAAAATAGTGGTGGCATCTGGACCATGTTATAAATTTTTTTACTAGTTACCTGATTTTTGTACTCTGAGAAGCTATAAGGAGAACTGCTATTATCTGTTATTAGGATACTATATTATGGTTTCCCCAATCAAATGACATGTTTTTAAAACATGTCTTACAAAACCCACAATAATGTCATATATTTACTAATCTCAAAGAGATTTTTATTGTTAAATCTAAATTTAATGTCTATCTCATCAACACAACATACATTGAATTTTTGCTATTTTACAAATGCTATTCCTTTTGACATAGATTAGTCTGTGTCCAAAGGATCTGAGGATGAATTTCATGAGTGTAAATCTTTAGCTGACTTCTGTTTTTCTACAGAAAAATAGACTTGAAATTAAGAAGAAGCTAGTATCAGAGCTAGGAATATTTCCTTGAGTTCTTAATTTTTTTTTAATTTAAAAAGAAATGACAATGGCCTCCGCACAAGTCATTTCTTTTGATAGAAAGGAAATGAGAAGGGACTAATAAATATTTTTGAAGCCTCCCCAGTATGGCACTTTGTGACATGTGATCAGTGGATCCTCATGCTTTGATATGTTACAGCGGGAACTTTCAGAAATGACTTACTGGGTTGTACATCTGATTGAACAACTGCTCAGCTTGCTACATTGCAAAGTTGGGGAGGCATTGAAGCACAGACAGGGAAAGAAGGAAAGATCCAGAAAAACAACATTAGCTCAACAAATCCAGTGCATTCGCACAGACTAACTGGTCRTTAAAAAAGAAGAAATTTCAGTTTCTAAACATTCCACAGTGAAAGTGAGAGGCTCTAGGGAAATACAAATGTTGATTTTGGCTCCGATAAAAGAATAGCTGGAATAAGAAATTTAAGGTTTGTATTACTTTCCCTTTCTCAAGTTAAATAACCCATGAAATAAAGAAAGCTGTCCACTTTTGATGATACATGAAGTGCGGGCCTCCAGCAATGAATCAGAAGAAGTACTTTTGGCCAAGCCCATAATTTATTACCTGAACTTCAAAGATGGTAATAATAAAAGATTAATTAAATCTTATCATTGAATTTATAGCTCTTCTTTTATACCAACACAAGCTTGAATTTTCAATTCAGTCTGACTCCAGAAAAATACAGATTAGCAAATGGCAGGTTAGCAATAGCAAAATATCAGTAAACAAAACATTATCAGATTAACTTAAATGGAGAAAGAAAAAAAATTAAGTCAGTAAGATAACAAAAGAGACCTACAATACAGTATTATCCATTGCCCATTACCAGTTTCTATTGTTAGTTTAGAATTAAGAAATAAATACTTTTCAAAGATATCCTGTTATGTTCCAAGTGCTTTAGAACCTGTAATGGTCTCCTGTCAATTTTGTACAGATTTAGGTTTCTGGATTTAAATGTACTGAATATTATTTTAAATAGCACCCTCTAGCGATATTTCTTAAATACCTGCACCAATTATTTGGGGCTAGACATCAAGGTGTAGAAGGCGAAATATTATGGAAATTGTTACTTTGCTTTAAGCTGAGATATGCCTTTTTATGAGCCAGATTCCTGTTCCTTCAACTTGAATAACTAAATAATGATTTTATCATGGTTTTAGAAAACCCTCTCCTCAAGCATGACATTAATTAGAAAGTTACTGAGGAGCATAAATCATAACACTTTGAATTACTGTTGCTTCTGAACTGATCTAGTCATACAAATCAATTACCTTCTACAACTTGAACCTCAAATACTCAAAAAAAAAAAACCAATATGATCCATGCATTAATAATCAGGTTCTTTTCTATATGTCGATGTCTATAACTGATGAATGCACTGAATTATAAAGCATACTCATAACTACTGGTTACTCATAATTTGGTTAGCATTGTTTAATCAGTCTTACCAATATCAGTAAAGATTTTTCACACATGAACATCTGACTGTGCCATGTTTAAGAGGTGGGATGGAATGTCTAAAGGGTAATTCCTTTTCTGCTATAACCATTTTTCATCACTAAGGATTTGAAGATGTCTTAAATCTACACAGTATAATGAAAGGTTAAAAGTAATAATGTGTATGAATGTTCTGCCCAAACTGTTGTGTAAAAATTCAGCTTATCAAAGTTAAGCATTATTCGTAAGATAAAAATCAATTAAAATCTCTCTTTGGATTTCACTGTCTTTGGCCAACTAGGTGCCTGTTCAAATAAACACATCTATGATCTTGTATAGATTTTAAGGCAAAAATACTGGATTCTCACAAATCTTGAGCAAAGTTCCACTGAGAATACATGGTGTATTTATGACATAATAAAACTATTATATTTTCAGCTTTCATTTAGTCAACCTTTATATTTTATTCACAAGTCACAAACCCTTTTACTTAAAAGGAGGCCCAGACACTCCTTAAGCTTTTATAGCTGCTTATTTTTCCATGAGTAAATGATGTGTTTATATGCATATTCACATACTGTTGGCTTATAATTTCAAATATTTCATGTAGATCTCAATTCTTTTTAAGGTGATGGGTACTTGAGGTTTTTATGGAACTATTTATTAGCAGAATTAAAGACTACTGAAAAAAACTATTTTAAACTTTTGAATGTAGTTAATGCTAAAGAGCCAAAAGCAACAAAACAACATCTACAGGTTAGGAATAAAAATATTTAAATTATCATTACCTTATTTAAACTCACTGTACTATGCACTTAGGAGACAGTATAAGCAAAGATTATGTAAATACTTAGAAATAAGTTATCCTTTCATAAATTAAAGAGTTTATTTATAGAAAGACACCATATTTGTCATTTCACTTCTGGTGATATTACAAAATGTTAAAATCTGTTAGGAATAATGATATAATATTTACAGGATTTGGTCTGTGAATTCCAGTAAATTTGTCTACCTGAGAGTACAAGGAAAACACTATGAGTGATCTCTCGGGCAAACCACAGCTATGCTGAAGAAACTATACTAAATTGCATAGATGTTGATTTATTAAACTAAGTCATGTACATGAAAACTATAAGCATCAATATGTGAACCTTCTTTTTAATTGCCAGGGAATTTCAAATTCCAGAGATGACTTACACTAAAAAGGAGGGTGCAGTGCATGAGGTCTACAGAAATCATAAACAGGGTGGCCTGACCTCCATAACAGCTCATCAGAGTTGATGGAGGGTGTCTTTCAGGATCATATATATTTGAGGTCCTATTTCATTCCACACTCACACACTACAAGTGAGGTAAGATCATGAAGACCATACCAAGAATCTGGTGAATTTCTGTCTCATAAAGTTATCTTGGCACCTACCTTATGGTCACAAAATTGTTTTATTAAGTAAAAATGATGTTTCATAGATATATATCCTAATATGCATATGCATGTATGCCACACTGAAGGGCACTTTTATAATGTGTCAATAATGTATATGATACTCCCAATGCATAAATAGCCAAATCAAATTGCACTTAAATGCCCTTAAATGGGTAATTTAATTCTCTTATTTACTGTTCAGGATTCCTGCTTAATATTGCTCGAAATCAGGTAAATGGTGAGTGCAGTATGAAACATATTTTGTAATACAGAGATTTTTCTTGCCATTTCGTTATAAAGAGATTCAATTTGTATATTTATCTCTTTCTGTATTAGTAAGTAGACTCAGTGTGAAATTTCTAATGACAATTTCCTAAAATGTTCTGTAAAGTGAGCATAACTTTAGTCACATTTCAGTTATACAGCACCATAAGAAATAGGATATTAATTTTTAAAATATTTGGAATGATTCTTCCATCAGTATGTGATTCCATCACATCCCTGTCCATCCATGTCATTTGTCTTCATATCTGTAGATTCTAGTGTGCTATGAATTACACCGTCCAACTTTTATTATATGCTTTATATGTTAATGTTTAAATTCTTCTGTTTTGAATAAATTTATAAGTTGTCAAAGGGAAACGAAATGCTTAAACTCATAACATTATGAGTTTGTATGTGAACGATGAGTGCAGACGTACCAAACAACACAGGGAAAAAGTCAAAGGAACCATGCATGACTGGAAATGCACTCCACAAGAATGTCCAGGTCAGAGAAAGCATGTGAATGCCACAATGGAAAGCCCCTGCTTTCCTTTCCACAGCCTTCTATACACAACAAGCTTTCTTAGACAGTAAGGTCATCTGGGGTCAAGGATAAACAGTCATTCTACAGATATGCTGGGACTTGACTATAGTGGTGAATTTCTAGAATTTGGTGTTGTTAGGGAAAATTCGCAAAGTTCTCATACAAAAATTAACCTACTTCTAAAAGTAGTACTAGTTCATCGAAGTATAATGGGGCCCCTGGATTCCTTGGTTTGTTGAAAACATTTCCATTTATTTTTTATGATAGTTGAGATTTGCCCAGAGAATAATGGCTGGTTTTTATATTTTTCATTTCTTCTACTAATTTCATCTATTTTTCAAGTTTTCTTTAGGCAGGAAACTTAAGATAATTTTTTAGGTTCACAGACAGATTTAATGTAGACTTCTTAGGAATAAAGAGTAATACTTTTATCAGTAGACAGCAAAGATAAGGAATTTCTTTCTTTTGAAAAATGCCTTTTCCTTTCCCATTCTATAAATTCTTTTGAAAATGAGCATGCTTTTTTTTCTTAGACCTCACTTACCTTTTTTAACTGGGCTTCCAGTTTGCTACATTCCTCTTTCTTTTGTTCGATGGCTATTTCTAGAGATTTTAATTTGGAGTCCCTTTTCAGTCCTGCAGAAGCTAATGAAGATGCATGTTCTTTGAGGTCAATTAAACTAGACTGAAAGAAAAAGAATGCTGGTAAGTGAAACACCACAATTTCTCCTAGCTATGTCTTCAATTTGAAATATACTGATTCTATACTTAACAATAAAGCATGCATTAGACAGAAAGGGTAAATATAGTCTTACCAAGGTAACAATAGTCAGCTCTGGCCAGGAAATTAAAGTTGGCCAGCTTACAGAATCAAGCAGGATCTAATTGCAGTAGAATCAAATGTGACCAAACGGTGTGGTGAATGCACTTTTCACATCTCAAAGTCATGCTAATGATAGAAGTAATGTCTTAACCTATCATGGCAAAACAGACACCCTGAACCTCATTTACATTTACTGCTATCAGACCATGAAGACTCTAAGACCAGAACGAAAGAAGATTCTGACTTTAATGCTTCCCCTGAAGGGTAAATCTAAAACTTTTTAAAATCCCATTTTTAAAAATTAGGGGGGTACCAGGAATTGAACCCAGGGGTACTTAACCACTGAGCCACATCTCCAGCCCTTTTAATTTATTTATTTATTTTTATTTTGAGACAGGGTCTTGTTAAGTTGCTTAGGGCCTTGCTAGGTTGCTGATGCTGGCTTTCAACTAGCAATCTCACAGTCTCAGCCTCCTAAATCGCTGGGATTAGAGGCATGTGCCACCATACCGGTCCCTATTAAATTTTTATCAAATTTCATTACTTAAACAGATCACTGTTTTTCAAAAATCTTCTGGAGAATCAAAAATAAAATATTTTGAATTTTAGAGTAAAGTAGACTTCATGTTACAGTCCTTTGTAATTCAGATTTAACAGATAGAATGAATCTCCCCAATTCAGACATGGGGTTACCTATATACTTCCAGCCATCAACCATGTCCAGAAACCAAGAACTTCATTGTTCAATCTAAATTTCAAAAACTAAAGATATAAATATTTGCATGTATCTATGAACATAACTTTACTACATACAAGGGCAATGTTCACTATTCAAATATGAAATGGGTAGCAACATTTAACTATGGGACTAAAAAAACCAATTTCATCCCAAATCAGACAGTGTGAATTACTTTCTTATCTTTCTGCAGCACCTTGGAGTTACTAAGCACACAGAATCTTTCTGAAAATAATAACAATTTATGCTAGGCTGCTTCATGTGCACTGGAATGACCTTGAGGATAAAGGGCATCATCACCCAGCAACACACTCTTAACCACTCTGTGAGGGTCAGTTAGCCATTCTCATGTTTCAAGTCAGGAAACTAGGGCTCACATTAGCTATGCATCTTGTTGAAGGTCACCCAGCTATTAAAGGAAGACAACAGTCTCAACACAGGTCTACAACTCTGATTTCATATACTTATCATATCACTTCCACCGAAACAACAAAGGACCTTATAATCTAGTTATTTTGTCATAGTAAAGACATACAATCACCCCATCTAAATTATAAGATCCTTGCTAACTGCAAATCTATGCTATTCTTCTTTATAAGTTTTAAAACATGAGTTTTGATGGCCATTTTAGTCAACTTAGCGAGGCTGTGCTCCTCAGATATTAATCTGGAAGTTGTTGTACAAGGTATTTTGTAGATGTATAAAAAAATAACACTTCTAATCAGTGAGGAATGTGACACATGAGGACAAAGCTTCTGTGCCTTCCTCCTTCCACACAAACTATAGTAACTATAGAACCCCAAGCTGGATTAGCAGTAAAATAGAAGGCAGAAGACTTAAATTCTTAATTTTCATGTCAAAGAAATAATCTCTTCTCCAAAACACTGCAGGCATAAATTTTAGGGATTTTGCTTCTGGGTTTCCTCAAAACTCCTCTAACTCATCAAATCTTTTTCTTCTTTACTTGCATTCCCAATTCATACAGGACTTTAGTTTGTATAACATTACCAACACCCAAGGGTGAGATACTCCTGTGAAGGAGGAAAATATACAACTGTGCAATGGGATCAGTCTAGCAGGGTGAAAGAGCCCAAGCAGTTGGACAGCAGATGCACACTTCTTACAGGCAAAAACAGGTATGTATGGGTCAATTGTAGACACAAATCTCAGAGTTGTGGAGGTTAGACAAAATAATATGTATACTACTTCTCATTCATCTCCACTAAAGCATCCTCAAGAAAACTGAAGGGGTTATAGGTATCTGCTGGAGTATGGGGGAAGAACCCAAAGCATCCTCTCCAGAATCCCCAAGCAAGAAATTTCTTTAAAGTAAAACACAGGTGGCATTGACCTTCTATACTCATATTTGCTACAGCATGAAAATACTGTTTGAAATTGTTTACTAAAATATAAAAATAAGATTCCAGAAGAGTAACCATCTTTGTGTCCATCATGGTGCTACAACTCCTAAACTACGATATTGGGTTGTCCATTTGAGAAGCACAAATGAATACAAGGCATCCAACACAAGCATTAGCATATAGCAGACCCTCAATAGAGTGGAGTTATCCTTGTCATCCTCATCCATGCTCAATCAAAAGGATCAAGGAACTTTGAAAAACTTGCAGAATATGCTAAACCACACAAAGCTGGTATAAGACAAGGAAAAGTCTCAAGGAGCTACACTGCAAATAGCAGAACAGAGAAGCTATCCAGAGGGCATTGCTGATGAAGGAAGTTACAAGAAATAGTTTCCTTCCCATTCATACAGCTTTAACAAGAGAAAGGTTACAATGTTCCCTAAGCCTTCCCACAGCCCTTCCACCAAGTTTCTTACAGCTTCAATGAATACAGGTTTATGAGGACATCAATGTGGTTCATGGTTCTCCAGGCTCACCTCTTTTTCTGTGAGTTCAGCTTGTAAAGCATTGACCTTTTCTTTCAGGTCCTTGTTCTCTTTGCGGAAAGATTCTATCTCTTCTAGTCTTTCCCGATCATCTCTCTCCCGCTGTTCTTTCAAACGCTCAATTATTCTCTCCTGTGAAAGCGTCATGAAAAAAGAAGAGGTGAAAATCCATTTAGTGTGTGCCAAAGCAAATCACTAAGGAAAGTAAAGGGTTGTTATCTTAAAAATACAGGAATCAACACACACAAGAAACACAAAATTGGGTTTGTGGAAAGAGGTTGTGCATGCTGGCATCTGCAAAACACCATTAATATTGCTTTTGACTTGTGATTACAAATTAGCATTATAGGGTTGTATGGGGTCTTAACATTCAAACTCTGATGCTATACTTGGTTCATGGTGGTATCTGGATAAAGCCTAACGCAGTTCTAAAAGAGACATATTCTAGCATCAAGATTTGAAACTTACCAAAACCTTCTACAGGCAAAGGGAAGAGGCAGAACCAACCTCTTGGTTTGGGCCTCTTTGATTGGCCTCCCAGTTTGGCATCAATGAACATTCTCTGGTTTCTAAAGACTCTTCTCTGACTAGATAGGGGACTGAATTTAGACCTCCAGGACTTAGGGATAGACTAATTAAAATGAGAACTCAAGACAAAATAAAGAATAAGCTCAATATGTATGTGATTTTTCCAATGCACCTAGAAATGTTACTTCTGTGTTTTATTTTTCAATAATTTCAATAACTCCTTGGTGATCAGTAGAGATTTCAAAACACTGGTTAAGTTTGAACAATTCAGAGTATTCCTTGACTGGGAGATACTGCATATTGTGATGTGCTCTTCTCTTCAGTTCTCATCACAACTTTGGAGGCAGAGTCAGTACTACTGGAGATGGGATGGCGGTAAGGAAACCCAGAGCCCAGAGGAACTAGACTCACCCCAGGGTGACTTGCTAACAGAAGATCTCTGATACTTAACCAGGCTTATGAGACCACATAACCACAAATACATGCCCAGAAACATTCAAGGAGCATGAAGGTCTGTCTGATTTTCCATTTCATACTGAAATGAAAATACTACTCTGGTAGATATTTTCTAAAAATGTGGAATCTGACTGATACCAAAGAAAGACTCTTTGGGAAGGGGGATCAGAAACATTCCACCTGGATAAAGATTGAGTGAAATTTCTAAAATAAGTTTCAAAGTATTCAACACTTCTCTAAATTTCCTTTTGGATGGCCATGTTAAAAAAATATTCGTGTAAAAAACACCCTAAAGATCCTGATATTATCTTTTATATTCTTATAAGTATATAGCACAAGGTGAGGCCAGATACACAAGGTAACTGTAAAACAAGGTTTAGTGCAGAAGGAGGTTAGTTTGAACACAGCATGTGATTTATGATCCCCTGAGGAAGCAGTTGTGCTATCCCAATGATAATTTATACATTTAATGCTTTTGAAGGAGAAAAAAAGTACCATTACTGTTTCACAATTATTTAAAAAATGTAACTGAAATATATTATTATAAAAATAGGGGTGGAAATAGAAATAAAAATGAGACTGGTTTGCCTGTATTTATTGCTTCATGATTCCAATTACAGTCCCAAATTACTCTGCCTGTGATAATGCAGAGAGGATGATTATGGGATCTACAACAGAAGGAAATGACCATAGTGCACAGTATATTTCCCAAGAAATTCTTAACGGAGCCCTTTCTACCTTTTGCTTCTACTACAACCAGTTACCTGGCCACCAGGCCCTCTCTCATCACTTCCACCACATAGCTGCTGGAGTGACATTTCTAAAGGTCCAAACTGACCATGTCACTTCATTGTTTGGAAATCTTCCAGGAATCCTTCCAGCCAGATCACATGGCATTTATTCCCACTTGGCACCCTTTGCATAGTTTCACTGCATGCCCACCCTCCCCACCCAGCCTTCCAGAGGGCAATCTATGACCTTTACAGGGCCAAACTGTATGGTATAAAAAACACACCTAAAGAGGCAGGTGGAAAGAAAGAGACACAAAGTAGGATCATCTTGGCTTCAAAGAAAGGTTCATAAAATTATGTATTTGTGTTAATACCAAGAAAGTGTCAAAGTTTAAAAAATCAGCCAGCACTGTTATTGATGATTCAATAGTACAAAATATTTCTCTGTCAATCACAAAACTAATTTAACTGTCAGCCACGTGGGGCCAGATGTCAAAAACATGTGTTAAAAGGCCCTAATATGCCAGGATCTAGTTGATTAACAACTGACTTGCAGAAATTCCAATGTGTTCTTGCTTTAGCCTTATTTGCACTGGCAAGTGTTCCTTGAGCACTCATCTGGCACAGCACAGGTCTAATCTATTTGTGCTTTATCATTGAGTGGGAACTGCATTGCAGGGGCCTCTAGCTCTGCTCTCTGGCTTTCTCAACTGCTTATCTTCTAGGTGGTTACAGCAAAGCTTGGCGAGACCAGCCTTATAAATATGGTGAGTTCTGTCTCCGGAGCTTCTGTGTGTCAATCACAGAATTCAGTCATATTCAGTCTTCTTTTTGTGGGGCTGGAGGCTGAAGTAGGCCTTTGCATGCTAGACAAGAGCTCTGCCACTGCAGTACATTCCCAGCCTGAGTCACACTCAGCCTTAACTCAACAACTGAACAAATTCCTGGAGAGTAAAACAAGGAACACAATCCCAGGATGCCATAATCCAAGGGAAATGGTGAAGAGTTTCTGATGGATTCTGTCTACCAGCCAAAAGGCAGCAAATAATTACGTGTACTTATGAATCCATAAGGTTTTRCTCACCATTTTATTTTTTAACCCCATGCCTTGTTACAGAGGATCTAGTAAATTAAGTGGGGATAAAAGTGGAATTCGTGAGAAGAAAATAATTTAAATGTACATTGTGAAGTTCTTATAAGCACACCACCACTTTTGAGCTGGGAAGCCTTAGATGGGTGTGCCAAGAGGGGAAACAGTCTCAACCAAGAGCTAACTTAGTTTGAAAGTTGCTTGGGGAGTACTGGGTTGAGAAATCAGCATGTGTCACAATTAATTAATGATAATTTCCCACACCCAGGAACAGGGCATGATGGTCACATGTCTAGAATATTTCTTTCTGGGCAAATCATTTCACTTCACTGAACCTATTTCCCAACTTTAAGATGGAAAAGCTTGAATTTAGCGTTTTGCTAGAAGTTGTGGTATTTCAACCACTTGTATCAGAATTTCTGGGTATGCTTAAAAATCACAGGTTCCTAGGCTTCAAGGCAGAGTAACTGAATCAAAACCTCTAGGAAATGGGAATAAGGAAACTATAATTAAGAAACTCCTTAGGTGATAAGATTATTTAGATACAAACAAGGTTTGATAATCACTGGAATAATTGAACTTTTATTGTTTGCCCTATTATAGAGAAACTTGTCAGTGCATATTCAATGGTTTTATCTGTGCTTTTCAAATATAGTAGCATTCTGATTTGGGAATCTTTTGGAAATTTCCCCCAATTAATTGCTCTGTATGCACTGTTATCATTCATTTTTGTATGAAAAACTAAACATCGGATGCAAATAATATTTGGAACTAAACAGCTCATAGATCAAAGCTGGCCCACAAAATAATTTGGTTAACTTGATCATCATAATATTTTTTAAATCTAAATTCAAATGTTTTGAAACAGGTCAGGGATGCTCTAGCTTGCCATAGTCACCAATAGTCTCTCTGCATCCCATTTCTCCCATTTTTGCTCCCTGCCTGATCCTTTTAGTCATCCACATTTTCAACTTCTCATCCAATTCAGATGCCATTGGCCTGAGATTGCAGATTAGCAAACTGTCAAGCAAGTTCCAGAAGAGTATGATATTTAGGAGTTTAAGTAATTCAAGGGTGCAGTTTGAAGATGAAATTCCAAGAGGCTCCAATATACTAGCAAGCAGTAAGGACAGTCTGGTGCAGGCAGCCTCCCACAGACCTCACTCAGATTTCCTTCCAGAACACCCCTCAGCCTCAAGGAAATATTTAAATAAAAAGACTAGTTTCAGATTTGGGAATTTCTTTAGGACTTAAACTAGAATAAATCAAACCTTAATAGGTTCTGTGCAGGAGGCGGGGGGAGATAAAATCACGCCAAGAATCCACAACATGAAAAATTATATAGTATATGTTTACTTCTATGAATTTTAAGAAAGAAACCAAGATTTAAGAATGAGCTGACATCATATCACCCCAACATGCATACATAATCTTAATAGTTTTTGAAGCAACATCTCCCCCCACCTGCCACATTCCAATTTTACAAGCAAAATTAGTTCAAAGATCTCTGGAAATAAATTCTTGAATATTGAAAGAATATTTTTTCCTGAAAAGTTATCATATTCAATATTTTTATGTCTTCAAATAAAATATTGTAATTATTATTTTTTAATCCTAAAGTTATAATTTTTAATAGAACCATGAAGAATATCTAGCCACAGTGTTATAGCTCTTTCTTGGCCTAGCAGTGATTCTCACACTACAGTGCACATCCCATAGACCAGGAGTTTGCTAAAATACAGATTTCCAGGCACCACTCAAGGTTAGATTTGGTAGATATTGATCGGGCCTAACAATTTAGGTTTTCACAATAACTACCTTCTGTTAATTCAGCTGCAGAGAAATCCTCTTTAAGATACATTGGCTCAGGAAAGCAGGGGGCCACTTAATCCAATTTTCCCATTCAACAAATGGGAAGTTTGAGGTTCTGTAAAGAAGAATTACTTGCCAGGGTCTACTAGTTACTTAGTGGCAAATGTGACACTGGCTCCTAGGTTTCCTTCTATCTGACCTCATTACCCCAGAGTTTATATCCTCTCATAATAGGGAACATAGTAGGCAATGTTATAACCGTGGTAAGACACCCAAAAGAAAGCCTGTGGGCAAGTACTGCAAAGTATTACAGAATCGAAAATGATGAGAGCATCAAGGGGAAAAAAACACAAATGGATCTACTTGCACATTTTAAAAGTTAAGATTTCTACAACTACACAGCCACATCAATGTTTATAGCAGCTTAATTCATAATAGCAAAGCTATGGAAACAACCCAGATGCCCATCAACAGATGAACGGATAAAGAAAATATGGTTTATATACATAATGGAATATTACTTAGCCATAAAGAAGAATGACTTTATGACATTTGCCAATAAATGGATGGATCTAGAAACTATCATTCTAAATGAAATGAGCCTATCCCAAAAAACCAAAGGTTGAATGTTCACTCTGACATGTAGATGCCAACCCACAACAAAGGGAAGAGAGAAGAATAGAAGTTCAGTGGATTAGACAAAGGGAAATGAAGGGAAGGGATGGAAGGACAAGATTAGGAAAGATAGTAGTATGAATCAGACATAATTTTCCTATGTTCACATATGAATACATGACCACTGAAACTCCACATCATGTACAACCACAAGAATGGGATCTGAATTTACAATAAGTTATACTCCACGTATATGTAATATGCTGAAATACACTCTACTGTCATTTATACCTAAAAAGAACAAAAGAAAAGAATATTAACAAAGAAAAAAAGAGATCTCTTTTGTTTCAAGCTGAATTTGAAAATAGTGTGAATAAACATTGGCCTAAAGACTTCCCCAACACTTTGCATGTCTGAGTGCCCCAAAATAAAGCTGTGTCTCAGAATTCCTAAAGAACTTTACCTGAACTATTTTTGGCCACTGGCTCTTGGACACATTGGGAGTGTTGGGGGTGAAGATATAGAACAGAAATTCAACTATAATTGGTGCTCAGAGAATAAATGAACTAATTCGGCCAAACTAAAATGGGCTAAAAATCATTTTAAAAGTCAATAAACATCAGAATAACCTATTATTTTTAGAGAAAGAGAGAGAGGAGAGAATTTTTTTTAATATTTATTTTTCAGTTATTGGCGGACACAACATCTTTGTATGTGGTGCTGAGGATCAAACCCGGGCCGCACGCATGCCAGGCAAGCTTGAGCCACATCCCCAGCCCCCAGAATAACCTATTTACTTAATGGATTTCATTTATTTGTTGTTTCATTCTTCATTAATTCATTCATTTTATTCTTTCATTTCTTTATTTTTATTTATTCAAAATAATCCTTATAAATGTATTCAGAGGAACGCCTCAAAGTGGCCTCCCAGCTCCAAAGAGTAAAAGGCAATTTTCAAAATCTTTTCTCATGAGATCCTGGGAGATGAGCTTCTCCCCACCCCTTGTACTTGCTCCTCCCTTCACCTAGTACACCTGCCTCAGAAGGGCTTGTGACTCACCAGTCACTTCCTTCATCCCTTTCCTTTTAAATGTCACCTTCCTGGCCCCAGCTGGCCACTACACCACAACAGTCCCTGTACCCATTCCCACTTTATTTTTGTTGATAGACATTATGACCTTCTGAAATCCTACATATATCTGTTACTTGTTTATCGTTTATTTTCCCCTCAACCCCAGTAGAATCTAAAGTCTGTAAGAGTCAAGATTTTGCCCATTCTCATCTCTGTGACATCCCGGTGACCACAATAGCCAATATCCACAGAGCAGCTCCATAAAAATACTGTGCAAGGCCATGGGGATGGCACTTTCTCTGTCTCTCTCTCTCTCTCTCTCTCTCTCAGACACACACACACACACACACACACACACACACACACACACACACAATATTGCCTAGGTTTGGACTCCAGCAGAGAGATGGATTAATCAAATAAAAACAGATGCATGAGGGCCAGAGCTGTAGCTCAGTGGCACCTCACTTGCCTAGCACATGTGAGGCACTGGGTTCAATCCTCAGCACCACATAAAAATAAACAAATAAAATAAAGGCATGCTGTCCATCTATAACTACAAAAATTTTTTTAAAAACACGAAAAACAAAAACAGATGCATGAACAACTGAGATTGTGACAAGAGCTCTGAGAAGCTCATGGTATTCAGGAGAACATAATAGAGGTCCGCAGGAGGTATCCCTAAGAAATTAATTAATAAAATAATATTTTCCCTGAGGAAATGAGAAGTTAATTAATTTTTCCAAAGGACTAAGTGTGAGAATGAGGATTTGAACCCAGACAGTCTGATTCCAAACTCTTGACTACTGTACAACACAACTTCTCAAGAAGCTGACCTCTCCAGTGAAGAACTACATCTGCAGACACTAAACCACATTCTAGGTTGGGTGAGAATAAGTCCCAAGAGCCTAAGGGAGAAGGGAACATGATACACTTCAAAATCTAGAAGGCCAGCAGAGCTAGAGCACAGAAAACCAGGGAAGAGAGATAGGGGATGGGGATGAGACTGGAAATGAAGGAAGAAAGGTCAGAGGGAGGAAGGGAGGGAGAAAGGAAGAAGGAAGGGAACAGCCAGGAGAGGTGTTGGTCAGAAAAGAGTCAGCTCAGATGGAGGGGTGCACTGTGCCAGCATAAGGAGTCTAGTCTTTATCATTCTAACAGCAATGACAAGCTAGTGAAGGATTTTCAGGGGACAAGGGTGATGTGATCAGATTTGCATTTCAAAAAGATTTCCCTGGCTGCAGGTGAGTCTTGAGCACAAAGCCTACTGAAGAGGTCTGGTAAGGCAGTGTGAGGCCCAGACRAAACCAAAGATATTATTAGCAAATGGGGAAAAGCAGGTAAATTTTAATACACTTGGCTCATCTCCGAACCCTGCTTCTCTCAATCCTGATGCCCCCATTTTTGAGTCCAAACTCACCTTCTCTGACAGAGCTTCCTCGAGTGTCGCCAGCGCAGTATCTGTGTTACTGGAATCCGTCTGCAAGGACTTCACTCTGTCTTTCAGATTGGTCAGTTGCTTGTCTTTATCCCTAAGTTGTTCTTGCAAGTTTTCAATCTAAAAATAAAGATCATCATATTTAATSTATATTTTATTACATATCAAGGGCCAACATTCCTGAAGTGAATCTATTTTTTAAAAATAGACCTGAGATTATGGACATTTTTAATATCACAAAGTTACATTTTGACTCAGACTCAAGGACATTCCGAGGAGAACTTCAGTTATTTCATTTAATTCAACTTTGTATTCAATGACAATACAGATGAGCAGAAAGTCTTCTTCCCATATAAATGCAAGCCTACAGGTTATGTAAGCACTATATTTCTGTCCCTTTTCTGGACATTTATATTTTCAGTCCATAGACCTAACTTTGGTTCAGTAAACTAGAAAAATGTTTACACAGGATTATTTCATTCATTGAACAGACATTGACTGGGTGCCAATTCTGCACCAAGTACCATATCAGTATATGGCTGAGCCCATGTAGTCATTGACTAACTTCTTTATTCAGTATTAAACTTTGTGATATACCAAATGTTGTCAAGTGGCTGTTTCAAAGTAACCACATGAAAAGCCAAGTAGGTTATCACCAGCAGACTGTTAATGGGAAGAACTTGTGATATAAGTCATATGTAACAAGTGCTAAACACTCCATTTGGCAACTAAGTCATATGCTGGCAACCAACCAGCCACTTTTATCTAGTATCTGCAGCCTGAAATAAACACACCGAATAGCCGATTATAACGCCTGCCCAGCAGCAGCAGCAAAGACCTTCTCCTGGGCATTTCGTCCATTATCATTCATGTTTTTATTCTCTGCTTTCAAACCATGTATTTCTTATCTAAGGATTTTTAAAAAAGCCTCACTATACAAACAATTTATTCGTATTAAGGGTTTTAAAATGACAAGGAAAAAAAGCAGTACAACTCTAAGATAAGTCCATTCAAAATATTTGTATTCTGCACCCAGCTTTCTCAGGGAATCATTCCAAATGCATGTTTCACAATGTATGACTCGAGTAAGGTTGTTTTTTTTTTTTTTTTTGATTACTTGATTCTTTAAGCATGAATCCAGAATGGCAACACAAATAATGCAGTTAGTAGCATTGATAATGAGTATCCACAGGTCTGAGCATCAAAATAACTCTAAAAGCAAGATAATTACTTTGCTGACCATTGATCTACAGATAATGGGCTTGATTAAATTTTTCAATAGTTACAATGGACGTAGGCTAACAAAGAGGGGATGGTATTCTTTACTTCCCCTCTTCCAACATCCTTCACTTCCTCCCTTCCACTTTTCCTTCCTTCCTTTTCCTTCTTATTTTAAAATTTATTTTTCATTTTAGATGGACAGAATACCTTTATTTTATTTACTTTTTAATGCAGTGCTGAGGTTTGAATCCATTGCCTCACACATGCTAGGCAAGTGCTCTACCATTGAGCTACAACCCCAGCCCTCCTTCTGTCTTGAGACAGACATCTTGGAAACCCAGCTCATATAAATAACTCTGTCCTTCATGGAAACACAAAGTGTTCCCTCCCATCCAGTCACCACTCTGAGAATTCACTGCCCTTCCACCGAAAACATAAGAACTCAAAAAGCAGTAGCATCTTCAGGCAAAGGCTTCTTCCTCCTTTCCAGACAAGTGTTCATGTGCTTTTTACACAACACAGTAAGCAAATATATGTGTGAGTATGTGAATATTCATGTGTTTGAATGATAGTAGTTACATGGAAAAAGTCACCAGCTGAGAGGGACTGACTTGTAGAAAGAGTGTACATTATTACCTTGAGGATACCCACACCCGTGGATACATTTTCGTATGCATATGTGTGCAAAGACATGGGGCTTGTGAGCAAATCGACCAGGCCTGCCATTCCCATTCTGAGAAACAGTGCCCTGAGCAGGGGAAGGGAGATTTACCCTCTGTTCATTAACCCTGGAGTAGTGGCAGGCACTGATTTAAAGGGACTGTGGGTACTGAAAATAAAGGCCAAAGGAGACTAGGAGCTTATGGTACTGCTGTGGGCCTTCCATATAACCAGAAAGACTACAGATGCTGGGATCCCACTGGCATTGCAGTGGGGTCTGAGAGAAATGTGGGATGTGGGGGGGGGGCATTTATCTATTTATCTCAAATCTAAAATGCCAGTAAAATAGCCAATGATACGACAGGCAAGACTAAGAGTCTTCAAGAAATGCTACACAAAGATCAAGAATGATTCTTAAGAGAAAATCTAAAGGTGTAGAACAGTACAGAGTTAATTGCATAAATAAAAATATATAAATCTGTAAATAGACACCTATGTAGGGGGGATCTCAAGAAATTTTAACCTTTGAGGGAAGGGTCTAAGAGGTAGGAGGTAGGGGGAGATTCTGGGTTTCATTTTTTCATATTTCTGTAGTTTTCTGCTTGATTTTTCTAACCTTATGGGTTTTTAAATGCCAACCAGGGTTATTTGGCAGGTATGACTATAATTTATTTTTAGTTTATACTTGTACGTAAAAATAAATATTAAATAGATGAGTAAATAAAAATGATAAAACAACACACTGGATGCCTGTAATCTCAGTAACTTGGGAGGCTGAGGCAGGAGGATCACAAGGTGAAAGCCAGCCCTAGCAACTTAACTAGGCCCTAAGCAACTTAGTGAGATCCTGTTTCAAAATAAAAAATAAAAAGGGCTAAGGATTTGCCTCAGTGATAAAGCACCCCGGGTTCAATCTCTAGTACCTCACCCCGCCCCCTGAAAGAAACACAAATTAACACAAATCCCTACTTCCCTAATCAAAACCAAACTGTCCGAGTGCTATGGTTTGGGTATAGTTCATTCCCAGAGGTTATTATTGTGTTGGAAACTTGGTCCTCTGCATGGCGGTGTCCAGAGCTGGTGAAGCCTTTAAGAGTTAGTCTAGAAGAAGGTGATTAAGTGTTTGGAGCACCACCCTCTCCTCCCCACTTTTTAGGAAATAGTGATCCTTCAGTTTTGTGTAACTAAATTCTTAAAATTTAAATTTTAGGAGATGGAAGAAYGAAAAATTTTGTATCTTTTACAAAATTATTGTACAAGTTCTCAAATTTTCTTTCTCGCCCTCTTTCTCTTTCTCTCAAGTTTGGATAAGCCAATAAGGCTAAGGTTTGAGTCAGTCACTTCCCCAGTTTGGTCCATTCAACTCTTTGTTACCAATCTGTGATAACTTCAGAATCAGGAGTGTTTATTCATCACCCAAAGATTCAAGAAATACTTGTCGGCTTGTCACCATGAGCAGCACACAGCAAGTTTTGGTATGTCAAARTCATGTATTGTATGTGGACAGAGGCACAGACTGAACATATATATATAGTAGGATCACATGTTGCTCCAAGACAGCTTAGAAATTTAAAAAAGGAAAAAATGCTGAGGAAACATGAATTCATAGGTCTCCTAATCTTACAGGCCTTCAGAAATACTGTTTGCAGAAGGCCACTGAGTGAAAAAACCCACCCTTGTGTGGGTGAAGGGGACATAGACCCCAGCAACAGACCCACTCCTGGTACCAGGCTGGACCTTGAGGAGTTAAGCTCCAGGCTCCAGGTCTACTCCTGTAGACACAGGATCTACAAATTCCCTGGCAAAGAATTCAAGTCAGTTGTTGCTAGTAGAGGGTCCACTAAACCACAGATTTAAAGACAAAGATTAAAATCAATCCACTGCATTTATTTTCTATTGTTGCCTAGCAAACCAACACAATCACAGAAGCTTAAAATAGCATGGACTTATTATCTCACAGTCTGTACATCAGAAGTCTGAATATGGCATACTTGGTTTTCCTGCTTAGGGTTTCACAAAGGTATTATCAAAGAATCAGAGGGGCTGAGTTCTAATCTAGAATTTGGAGTCCACTTTAAAACTCAGGTTTGTCTCTACTCAGGAGCTGTCTCTAGCCAGAGATTGCTCTCAGCTTCTAGAGGCTGCTCTCAGGTCCTTATCAAATAGCCCTCTGTATCTTTAAAATCAGCAACAAAGCACTTCTTGGATGTGAAATCTCCCTCCTTTTATGACTTCCTCTGACTTCCAGGTCTCTGACCTCTAGACCTAGATTTACAGTGATCCCGGGTTTAGGCTAGGCCTACCCAGATAAACTCCCTTTTGATTAGCTCAAGGTCAAATGAGTAATCACCTTAGTTATATCTACAAATTCTGTTTTGCATAAAATGTAACCTAAACAAAGGCACCAGAGGCACCAGAGGTCATCCCAGATTTTTGCTTTCTATACCTAYGCTGTTCTTTTAGATACCTTAAGAAGATTCTGTAAGAGAAATGTTTCCAAAACTGAGGAAATAATTCTAATGTGATGTGTGACATTTTAACATGGCATTTCTGATGCAGCCATTTTAACAATAAAAATTAAAAAAAAAAACTTGCAGTTTTTCCAGAAAATCAGGTAGTGAAGTATGGGGAGAAAGATACCCCTTGTGTGGTAAAAGGGACATAGACCCCAGCAACAGACCCACCCCTGGCACCAGGCTGGACCCTGGGGAGTTAAGCTCCAGGCCCATTCCTGTAGACACAGAATCTACAAATTCCCTGGCAAAGAATTCAAAATAATAATCTTGAAAAACCTCAGCAAGATGCAAGAAAACACAGAGAGAAAACTAGAAGAAACCAGGAGAATCATATATGTGAAAAAAAAATGGAAGTTCAACAATTAGATAGAAATTATGAAAAATAAAATAAACACATTCAGGAGCTATAGAACACAATGACTAAATTGTAAAATCCCAGAGAGATTTAACAGCAAACTTAATACAGTCTAAGATAAATCAAAGAAATTATTCTCACAGAAGTACCAAGAGAAAAATGAAGGAAAAAGTTGGGAGAAAAATGCCTTTTAGACTTTCAGGACACAATCAAGGAAAGTCCCAGAAGAAGCAGAAAGAGAAAAAGAGGCAGAAGATTATTCAAAGAAATGACAGGAAACTTTCCAAATCTGGAGAGGAAGTAAACCTCTAGGATCCATGAATCCCAAAGAATTCCCAATAGAGTAAATATAAAGAAATCTTCACTGA